TGAACCTGGAGAGAGGATGAAAGGCACCCAAGCATCGAGGACTCTCCTTCATAGGGTCGCTATGAGTCGCCTTCAACTCACGGCACTTAACAACAACAACAATGATATAGATAGAGGGATCTCTGGTGGCTTATTGATAAGGAGTTGTGCTGCCAACCCAGAGGCATGCAGTTTGAATCCACCAGCTGCTCCTCCGAAGAGAGATGGACACTTTCCTCTCGTGTGATTAAATGCCTCTGAAAACCCGCTGGCAGATCAACTGTGAGGCGGTTTTGACTTGATGGTACACAGTAACTATAGATGGTAAATATATTAATTAGTTGATGGACATAACTTTATTGTTAATACTGTAGCCACATTTGGGTTACCCAAAATGAAAATTTGAACTAGGTCAATGAGCTAATTCAAGCTTCAAAAGTATGAAAAACTAGAAGAAAAAATTATCTTACAAATAGTGAAGATATTTGTGTAATTGAAGAGTCAAATGCGATAACGGTTACCCAAGGTGGTGGACAATGTTGAGTGAAGCTCCCCGATTAAAACAAGCTTGGAAGTAGGAGTGGCATCCACTTCTGTAACAGCTTGCTTCCAGAAATCCTGTGAACCTGGAGAAAGGACAAAAGTTATACAGGTGTCCAGGACTTTTGTTCATAGGGTCGCTATGAGTAGCCTATACGGCTCGATGGCACTTAACAACAACAGCGTTCATCTAATACTCCTCAGATTTGTCTGTTTAGAATAGAGTATATGACTAGTAAAGTGGATGCAAAAGTTTAAAAATATAAATGTGCAGAAGAAATAATAGAATATCACCAAAGGAGAGGAGAATTTAACTGATAATTGGGGGAAATTAGGTATGCAAAGAAATGTGAGAACATTTCACAAAATTTGCTTTCTGTTTTTATATTAAGGCGAAAAGTAATGAAAATATTTGGAACACAGGAATTAAATATCCATATAGTATTAGGGCATAGCCAGAGAACTGTCTTGTAGGGATCCTTTCGGGCATTTCTAGGACTCAGCAATTATGATAGAAAATTTGAAAATAATATGAAATCATACCTGAACAAATTGAAAAGAGATGCTTTAGAGAGAAAAAGACACAGGTTTGAATGTGTAAGGGACTATTCTATAGAAAGAGAATTAGGGAATTCTGTGTTGATTCTGAGGGTAGAAATAGAATTAATGATGAAATTGCACAGGAACAAATTTCAGCTGTGGATAAAGAAAGGATTTTCTAACAACCTAAGTTTTCCGGAATTGGAGTGGGTATCTGATGGGATACTAAATAATCTACAATCACTGAAAATGTTGCGCAGCCACTTCCTGTGGAAGTTCATTGATTCATTTAGCAGATGTTGAGCTGTAAGGAGATGCTTGGCTATGGAGATACAATATATGCACAGTTCTTTCTTGGAGCTTTAGGGGGTAGCACAAAGAAATTGTGTTAAATCATGAAGAATGTAAGCACAGGCCTAGGAATGAGGGAAGGTGTTGTTTTAGATACTAGGGATATTACATAATTAGTATGTAATTTTAATATGTAAAATTCTCTGAACTCTTTGCACTTTAATTTTCTGTAATTTATATATTGTTTTCATTTGAACTATTTGGGGATATCAAGGTCACCCAGCTAATAGGTAATGGTAGAAGAACAACTTAGATCTTCTAGTCTATGACTGTACCCCTAGATTAGTTTTCTTACCTGTTTTTCAATTAGTCTTTCATGTTGAGTTCATATCAATACAGAGAATATATATTTATACTATATACACAGAATATGTAGTGATATTGTGTAAACATTTTCTGCTTGGAAAACAAAGGAAACCACAAACTTGGATGCTTCTTGCTCCTGAATTTTTCTGGTGCTGTCATTCTTTCTGTTCTGTTTCTTGATTTCACTTTTCATCTGATAGAAAATGAAACAGTCTCTTATTCTGAGATAAACAGGAAGGTTAACTCTAATTAAGATACAGTTAGTTGTCACTTTTAACATATGGCTGATGTTGTGGAGATGTTCTTTGCATAAACATTTGGTCTTTTTTCTTTTTACAGAAAGATGTTGGATCCAGGATTGTTGTCCTGCTCCAAGCAAGCTCTGTTTCTTAACCTTGTTTATAAGTCTCTCAAAGCTGATATCATGCTGCGCCGGGTAAAGGCTTTTCTGAAGAGGTTGCTTCAAGTTACTTGTGAACAGATGCCACCATTCATATGTGGAGCTTTGTATCTTATTTCTGAAATCCTTAAAGCAAAACCCACGTTAAGAAGTCAACTAGATGATCATCCAGTATGTTTTATGACTTTTTTGAAATCTTAGGGTTTAAAGCACATGGGGTTTTGATTTTAGGTTTCTTTCCATAGGTTTTGGTGACTGACTTACTTAGTTCTCTCTTTAGAGCATCTCAGATGATGAGTCTTAGAGTCAGGTAGACCTGGGTTGTCTTCCCAATTGCACAGTTTGTTGCTTATTGCCTTAGTGGTAATACATTGCATTTTTTTTTAATACATTGCAATTTTATGGGAGTTTTCCAGCTACCATTGAGTTGATTGACTTATGACAACTCCATGTGTTGTCAATGGCTCATTTTTGAAGTAGGTCTTCAGACTGCTTCATTCTGAAATATCACTGGATAGACCCAAGCATTACCTTTTGGTTAGCAGCCAAATATCTTAACTGTTTGTACCACAATATAGTTTGAGAAAATTACGAAGCTAGTAGACCTCAGTTTGTCTTGAGGCTCTTGGCTCAGAATTTACTCTTACTACCTTTCAAGTATAGAATAGGTGGCTAAGATTTATGTTTGATAAGACTTTTGTGCTCTTTTTATCCTGCCTTCAATAAACAAATATTCAAAAGTCTATATTCGTTGAACATAAACTTTCAACTTAGAGTTCATGGAAAAGAGTTCTTTGTAAAACTTGTTTTTATTGGTAGGAATCTGATGATGAAGAAAATTTTGTTGACGTAGGAGATGATGAAGACATAGAAAAATTCACTGATGCAGACAAAAAGACTGAGCCAGAAGAACCTGTGTGTGAAAGCAGTGAGGAAAGTCAAGCACGGAAGCCTGCATCTTGGGTGCACTTCGATAATATGAAAGGTGAGGATTCTTTTTTCTCTTTGATTTCGATTTTTTTAAATGGTAAATAATCTTTACATTATTCTATTTCATTTTTATACCAGGGATTTACATTTCCTCTGATTTTAATAGAAGTTAATATACCCTTCTGGAAATCCTAAGTATTGCTTATGTTTAATATTTCATAAGTGGAAATGTTCAACATCTTTGACCAATATTATGTATATGTGTAAATCAGTGATGTGTTTGACAAAACTTCCCATAATAACTAAACATTTTAAAAATATTTTTAATTAAATGCGTTAATTTAAAGCTGTGAAAATTAAATGAGGAAAAAAACTGGACATGGCAGATACACAGAATTTCTTTTCCTTCAGCTGTTATGGATTATAGATTGAGCTGTGTCCTCCTGAAATAGGTATCCACGTGGGTAGGCCATGATTCTCAGTATTATCATCCTCCACTTTGTGATCTGGTATAAACATAGTTTTTATGATCTTATAGAGGCAGAATACAGGCTTAGATTATATTCGAAGTCAGTCCTTTTTTTTGAGGTACCATAGGGACAAGGGGTGACAAAGGCGGAGTGACCTGACTGTAACCCAGAAGGAATAGCAAAGAGGGCAGCCCCTCCTCTGGACCTGGACTGCTTGCACTGGCAACCTCCTAGGCCCAGGAAGTAGAAGCCTGTCTTCACTTAAGATGCTTAGAAGCAGCAACAGAATTGAGAGATGTGCCATAAGTTAACTCACAAAATGGGAAAGTTGAGTCCTTTCAGGAACAGGTCTTCCTGGCTGGGTGTGAGCTTCTGTGAGCATTTATCAGGGGAGCTAATGAGTTTTATACTTGGCCCAAGTTTTACTTGGCTCCAGTAGGCCAAGGAGCAGGTCCAGAGAGAGACTTTCCTTTAAACACAACTGAAAATGAGGCTGTCCTGATCTACATGGACTTCCTCTAGAGCAACTGAAAAAGCCTTCGATATAAACCAGCACTTTATTCCACATCTCCTAAACCACTAACAAATATTTCTGTCTGTTAAAAACACACACTTAAAATAATTCTGTTGCAGCACTAGATAACTAAAATACCTTTGAAGTTTCTTCAGAGGCTTCACACATTGAACACATAAGAAGCTAATTAATGTAGTATATGTTAAAGTTTGACTTAGAAACAAAAATGATTGGTTGCATATTGTGACTAGTGTGGAACCTTTAGTTCTTTTAACTTTTATCTTGATATTCACCATCTACAGCTTAAAGATAGAGCGCCAGGTTAAGTGATTTTTCATCTATATACACAAAGTGAATTAAATCTGTTATTAGAATGTTACAGCTAAAAACATCTTAGAAATAGAAAATACAGCTTCTTCATTTGCTGGCACTTATTAAAAGAGAATAAATCAAAAAAACTAAAGAAAAATGAGTTTGAATTTCAGTGTTGACGAAGAGTCTTGAAAATAACCGAGAAAGTGCCAGAAGAGCAAACATACCTATCTTGAAAAAAGATATTTGGAATACTTAGAAGCAAGCAAGAAGAATGAAATTTCATCTCATGTATTCTAGACATATTATCCAGAAGAGTAGTCCCCGGAGAAGGGCATCATGCTTGGTAGAGGGTTACCCAGAAAGGGGGTGAATCTCAACAAGATGCATTAATAGAGCAGCTGTAGCAGTGATTGAGATGATGGCACAGTACGGGGGTCAGAACCAGATCAACAGCACCTACCAACAAAAATAAAAAACCGTGTCACCATATCCATTTCGTCACACATGAAGTGATTATTTTGGGTCAAATTAGTTACTCTGTCTAAATGTTAATCTTCCTAGATAAGTGTGTGCATTATAAGAGAGCAGTCTCATAGCCTCCAGGAAAGTTTTCCATTAATTGTCTTATGATCCAAACTAAGAATAAAGTAGACATTTGGAGTACTGTAAAGCTCCAAAAGACTTTAAGCCTCTTTCATTGTAAAGTTATTTGTCATCAAAATTTTTCTGACCTTATTGAGCCCAAAACAAGCACTTCTTTTTTTTTTCTTATATGGGAAAAAAGGTGTTTTTGTAAGGAGCTTTTACTAGGGATAAATAAACTCCCTCGTTTAAGAAATAACAAATACTAGAAATAGATAAATCTTAAAAGGGCTTAGAATTTTCAATCTGGTTAGGATACCTAGCTAACATGTTGGAAATCCTGTGTTATCTGTGGAATTAATGGTGCTGATTTTATGATTTGGACTAGGAATAAGACATTTTAGAAAGACTTTTTTTTCTCCCTTTAGGTGGCAAACAGTTGAATACATATGACCCATTTAGTAGAAATCCATTGTACTGTGGAGCAGAACATACATGTCTTTGGGAACTCAAAAAGGTAAAATAATTCACATTGCCTTTTAATACATTTCTGCTGTATTTGACACTTTAAAATTTTCATTTTCCTCATAAATGATAAGTAAATCTATATTCTTATTTAAGCATATATTTTATAGGCATGTAAAGTATGTGTAAAAGGTGTAATGCTTGGTAATCAACAAAATAGAAGCATTATACTAAATTTCCACATTTTAGGGAAGGATGTTCATTGTATATTCGTTTTATAGAAAGTATTTAAAATGCGCGTAGATGTAAGTGAATTATAGCTAGCTAATCACATCTAACAACTCTATTAAGTGGACGAATTTTTCTTTATGTGTTATTAATCTCTGAAAAGTTTATCAGGGCTTTTTTTACAAAATTACCTTTAAAATTTATCAAGGAACTTATTTAAATAATTTTTATGATTTCTTTGGAAAAGCTATGTAAGCATACAACTATTATCAAAATATAGACACAACCCCAAAGGGCCCTGATACCCTTTGAGTAAATCTGGGATCCAAACTCTTTTCATAGTACCATGATAGCATTTGCTTTTGTGCTATGTTGAGAGTGGCACTAATGGCATAGGAGAAATCTTGAGTTGAACCCCTCATGCCTTAACACAAGTTGAGCATGACACACCACACTGTACTGATCACTGTTACTCTTTATATCTCCACGTACTTCTTCTTTAAAAATGAATTTTAAAAAATAAACAAGTCAGGAGCTCTGGTGGCCTAGTGGCAATAAGCTGCACTGCATTCCCAGAGGTATGCAGTTTGAATCCACCAGATGCTGTACTGGCGAAGGAGGGGCAATCTCCTCCTGTACCAGTCAAATCTGATTTGAGAGTATACACACACACAAAAATAATAATAAAATAAAATTTTTTAAAAAAAATAAACAAGCATAAATAAATATGATTGTATTAGTAGTCCAACTCCCCACAGACTAGGCTACTGGAGCTCCCTAATTGGTTTGGTTTTTTTGGTTTTGTTGTTTTTTTTTATCCTAAGTATGCCTTTTAATATTCTATGTGAATATATGGAAAGTATGAAGACTCCCCTTATGCCATATGCATAGTGTGAATGTTACATCAAGGAAAAGGTTAGCTAGCTGCCTTTTCATACAAGAATAACTGACACATAAACTATTCTGGTGTTTTCTTGAAAAATGGGAAATAGAAACCATTTAACCCAGCAGTTCCACTATTGAGAATATACCCTAAAGAAACCAGAGCCACAACTCAAACAGATATATGCACATCCATGTTTATTTTGCTGCATTATTAACAAAAGCAAAGAGATGTAAGCATCCCAACTGCCCATCAACAAATGATGGATGGATGGATAGAAAAACTGTGGTACATTCACACAATGGAATATTATGAAGCACTGAAAATCAGTGAACTCATAAAATATGACATAACGAGGGAGACTGGAGAACATTATGCTGAGTGAAATATCTCGATCACAATAGGACAAATACTGCATAACACTGCTGTTATAAACTAGGACAGATAGGGGACAGTTTGGGAAGAGTGGATAGATAATTTAATATTGCATTAGATCAGATGAGGGAAAGAATGAACTATCTAAAGGAATATATGACTAGGCATTTTATGTATGACAATCTAGAAGTAGTGGTGCACTGCAGGGAGGGGGCAGAGGAAGAAAATGTGCAACAATTTTGGAGGGAAAGGAATCATTTTAAATGGTTTAAAAAAATGTAATAGAGGGAGCCTAAGGCCAAATGTTTAAGAACTTTTCTAATGCCGTCAGTTTCTAAGTTTGAAATCTTTGGAATTTCAAGAGTTGACCCTAAGTGCTGACTGTCTACATTTTCCTTTTAGCTGTCTGAGCATTATCATCCTTCTGTGGCACTTTTTGCAAAGACTATCCTTCAGGTGAGTCTAAATATTACACAAATAAGAAATACGAGTAACTAAATAAATAATTTTAGATCATAATTGGCCTTAATGTATTCTCCAAAATAGAATTAGAGATGTATTTTGCTCTTTTGTAAAGCAGTAGTAGCTTCTTTAATCCAGAGCAACAGATAATTCTTCCCATTATGAATGGGAAGATGAGATGGACCTAGAGAATTCAGGATACCACATTCTGCCTTTTTTCCTAAATCAAGATTGCCCATGTCTTTCTTGTAGTGGTGTGTTTGCCACTTGAGGGTTTGGATCCTGGTTAATAGTTAGATGATTTACAGTATTATTCTTTACCTATTTATAAGATCAGCATAATCGTGTGTGTGTGTGTGTGCGCGCGCGCGCGCGCACGTGTGTTTGAGAGAAAAAAATTTTTCATGTTAAGACTGCAAAAGAGGGATACCTGATCAATAGTTAGATAACTTACAGTATTATTGTTTGCCTATTGATAAGATCAGCAGTGTATCCAGAGTGTGTGTGTGAGTGAGAGAGAGAGAGAAATATTTTTTCATGTAAGAACTCTTGCATAAGAGGTATATCTGAAACATTAGGTGCTATTTACCTCTAAGTTGCAACACAATAGTAGCTTGCTTTGTTCTTCTTTTCTTATCTGGGCACAGGTATGGTATTCAAGCTCTTAAATCTTACCCCTTTTCCCCCTTCCCCAGGGAAATTATATTCAGTATTCTGGGGATCCACTGCAGGATTTCACACTAATGAGGTTCTTGGATCGATTTGTGTACCGAAATCCAAAGGTACATAAAGGCAAAGGTATGCTTCTATGTACTTAGTTATTTGACTTTCATTGTTGATATTTTGTTTAAAGTATGAGCGTATAAACTAGGTGTTTACATTACTCTGTTGATTTTACATTACAGAAAACACTGACAGTATTGTAATGCAGCCAAAAAGGAAGCATTTTATAAAGGATATTCGTAATCTTGCTGGTAAGTACAAAGCTTGTACAGTTGAAAGATATTATAAGGCAGTGATACATACAAGTGTAGTATTCTCTGCTTCTCTCGATTAGAATAAAGCTTGAGCAGCAGAGGCACTATCTTCTGTACTCAAAAATATTTATGTATTTTCTAGTATAGTCTATATCTGTCTGGGCTTTTCTGTTTTCTTTTTAAAACTTTAATGCAAAAAATTGAAACATATCCAGAGTAAATAGACTAAATAATGTGGTGAAGTCTCCTGTATTCATTAGCCAGCTTCAACAAGTATCACGATTTTCCCTTTTATAAAAGACTTTTTACTGTGATTTCACTGAAAGGTTATAAAGCAGATTGTTTTACCATTCAGACATACATACACGTTTAGTTTTGGTAGTGATTATTATCTCTACACTGTAACATCATTCTTCCCATTGCCCCTGTGTGGTTCTCGCTTCCATTCATCCATCTGTCCTCTCCATTCCTGCCTTCTGAGCTTTACCCGTAGGTGAATGCTGTGCTTTTCATCTTACAGGGGTTGGTTGCTCTTTGGAGTGAATACCTCTCAGGTGTCATTGTTCACCTTACAGACTTGTCTGTTGTCACAGGGGTGGGTTCAGTAACTAAAAGACTAGAGTCTCAGGGATTTTACACGTCTTATCAGATCAGGGAGCCTCACTATTTTTTATGATTTTGAGTTGTGTTCTCTAATTATATCTCCGTATATGTAGGACCCTCAGCTTACTCTCTTTTCAGATTAGTCCACATTTTGCATTTTTTTTAACTGTTGCTTCATGAATAACTCTAAAACACACAACGCTCTTTTATCGGTCAGACCATCTTTTAAGCTCTTTAATAAAATTTCCATCTCGTTAGTTGATTGTCTTATGTGGTGGCTTGCATGTTCCTGTGCTGTGAGAGCTGTGCTACCATTATTTCAAATACCAGTTGAGTCAGCTGTGGACCCAGGTTCCAGTGGACTTTCAATACTTACAGAGATTAGGAAGCAGGACTGGTCAGTCACTTCTGAAATAACTGGCCGATGAAAATCTTATTAATAACAGTGAAACACTGGCTGATATAGTGCTGGAGCATGATCCCCTCAGTAGAAGACAGTTGGTACAGGTGGAGAAAGTTGCTTCCTCAAATAGTCTTCCTTAATAGACCGCTAAGTTAGCCATTTCTTAATAGCATGGAGAGGGTAAAGCCTTCAGCTAATGAGGGACTTTCTTTGTTGATTTGGCACTACTCAAAATGATAAAAAGATTCAAGCTTATATTATTCATTAGAACATGGAATATTTGAAGTATAAATCTAGGAAAATTGGAATTCATCAAAAATAAGTGGAATAAATATCAATATTCTAGACATGAGCAAACTTAAATGGACTAACTAGTATTTGCCATTTTTAATTAGACAGCCATATGATCTATGCCTGGAATGACAAAAACAAAACAAATAAGGTCAAATTCATTGGTAAAATAAATATTTCAGAATCCACCCTGGAGAAGAGTATTGAATATACCATGGACTGCTAGGAGAACAAACAAATTCGTCCTAGAGAGGTTGACACCAGGTTGCCTTGGAGGCAAGGATTCTGAAGCTTTGTCTGACGTACTTTGGACATGTTGCAAGGAGGGACCAGTCCTTGGAGGGGGATGTCATGCTTGGGAGGGTGGAGGGAAAGTGCAAGAGAGGAAGACCCTCAATGAGATAGATTTGATTCGGTGACTGGGTAAATAAGGGTAGGTGTGTCAGAGACAATAAGATTGGCACAGGATAGAGCAGGATTTAGGATTTAGTTGTACACGGGGTTGCGATGAGTCATGGGTGACTTGGTGGCACATAACAATAACAACCCTGAAGTGTAGTGTTTTCAGTGATAGGATAATATCCACAGGTGTACAAGAAAAACCTATCCATATGACAGATTTCCACACCACAAAACTAAGAAATTGAATATTTCTACCAAAATCTGCAGTCTGACATTAATCAAACATAGTCAAGATGCATTACTAATAATGGTTATTAGAATGCAGACGGAAATAGGATGGTGGTTGGAAAATGGGGCCTTAGGAATAGATATGAGGTCAGAGATAATATGATGGAATTTTATATGACCAACAACTTACTGCAGATATATTTTAGGAAAACTAGAAATGGTGACTGTACATGTGAACATTACTGGATGTAATAAATGCACAGGAAAAAAATGGGATACATCTGTGGGATAAAACAGCAGAAAAACTCTGTATAATGGTTACAACAAGATAGGGCCCAGCTATAGAGCAGACCCTCAGTTCCTCTGTGTTGCTTTTGTTAGGTGTCATCAAGTCAAGTACAACTCTTAGTGACACTGTAAACAACAGATCTGAACCCTAGCCTATCCTGTCCTGTGCCATCCTCACAATTAAATCATAGACAGGTGCAAGTTGACGCTACAGAACATTAAATCTATGAGAGGAACAAAAAGTAAAAAAGACCATAAGTATATATCTCACCTGGATTTAGAGACTAAGGAATAGATTTGATGTACCAATTAAACATTACATAATTGTGGAAGGACATCATACAAGAAGATAGCTCATTAAAAAAGGCATGGGGGAAAAAAGATCAAGACTGATGTCAGAAAAAGATGCTCAGACTTGCTGTTGAAGCTAGAGAACTAAAGCAATAGAAATTATGATGTAAGAGCTGAAAGGAAGATTTCAAAGAGTGGCTTAAAAAGACAGCAAAGTACTGTAATAAAATGTGAGAAGACCTAGATTTAGAAAACCCAAAATGAAGAACATGCTCGGCATTTCTCAAGTTGAAAGAACTAAAGAAAAAGTTCAAACCTCAAATTGCAATACTAAAAAATTTGATGGGCAGGGTATTGAATGACACAGAAGTTGAGATAATATAGTTACTCTACTGAAAAGAACTAGTTGCTGATGCGCCATTTCAGGAGATAGTAGATGATCAAGAATTAAGGAACCCTCACTGAAGTCAAAGCTCTAGGAATGATTCATTAAGGAGAATGGGAATTCCACAACACTTTGTTGTAGTTATATGAAACTGAAACCTATGCCAAAAGGCTATTTATTGTTTGAACACGGAAACATTGAATGGTTTGAAAATCAAGAAAGGTGTACATCAGGGCTGTATCCTCTCTCTACCTGTTCTGTCTGTATGCCAAACAAATCATGCAATAAGCCATGCTTTATAAACAATTAGGATTGAAGGAAGACTGAGCAGCAGCTTTCATTATGCACTTGATGCAACCTTGCTTCCTTAAAGTCAGGAGGACTAGAAACACTTGTTCTAGAAGAACAAAGACTATAGCCTGCAGTATGGGTTATGCCTCAGCATCTGGACAAGAGATAACCCTCACCACTGGCCAGTAAGCAACATCATGATAAATGGAGAAAAGACTGAAGTTCTCAATTATTTAATCTTGCTTGGTTCCATAATCAACACCATCAGTACTAGCAGTCAGGAAATGAAAAGATGAATTGCATTGTCAGAGTCTACTGTCAGGGACCTCTGAAGTTCTGAAGAGCAGTGATGTCATTTTAAAGACTAAGATGGCACCTGATGCAAGCCACGGTCTTCTCAATTGCTTGCCAAGCATCTGAAAGTTGGACAGTGAGTAAGGATGACAGAAGTAGGCTCAATGTCTTTGAGCTGTGATGTTGGAGAAGAGTACTGAATATATCATGGACTTCTAAGAGAACCTACACTTCTGTCCTAGAGAAAGTGAAACCAGAGTGTTTCTTGACGGCAAGAATGGTGAAAATCCATCTTATGCTTTGACTGTGTTATTAGAAGGAGCCAGTCCTTGGAGAAAGACTTTATGCTTTGGAAGGTCAACATAAGAGAGAAAGAGACCCTTGACAAAATGGATTAACACAGTGACTGTAACAGTTGGTTCAGTGTGTCAGATATGGTGAGGATGGCAGAAGAGATCTGCTGTTGACCAGGTTTCTGTGAGCTGCCGTCAACTCAACGACTCAACAGCACAGATCTTTTAATGCACTACCCATTTGTGCAGCTAATTTTCTGTATTTTCAGAAGCTCTGGTGGTCTAGTGGTAAGAAGCTCACTGTAATCCAAATGCAGCTGTTTAAATCCACCAGCTGCTCCACAGAAGGATGGACAGTCTCCTAGGTGATTCATATCCTCTGAAAACCAGCTAGATGGTCAGCTATGGGTTGGTTTGACTCAGCAGCACAGAACCCTTGTGCCTAAGATCTGAACTCATTTTTCAGTTAATCAGAGTTTAAGGTTAAACTGATCCAGAAGCAAACTCATTGTTGGCTGATTGATTCCAATAATTAAGAGAGACTATTGGACAGAGTCTACATGTTTGTAGAAGCCAACTGCCACATCCTTCTCTTGAGCAGTTCCTGGTGGCTTCTTCTATCCACAGCCATCCAGTTTCACTGCACTGAGAGGACTCCTAAGGTTACATTTATATTTTTGAATGAAGGTTTACAATTCAAAATCACCTCTTTTTCTTTCTTTTTTTTTTTTTCCATTTTATTTTATTATTTTGTGTGTACCGTCAAATCTGATCTGACTGGTACAGGAGGAGATTGCCCTCCTTCTCCAGCACAGCATCTGGTAGATTTGAACCGAGCACCTCTGGGATTGCAGTGCAGCTTCTTGCTACTCACTTTGTTTTCTGTTGGCTGAATTCACAGAGATCCAGAGACATTCAGGGACTATATACCAGAAGTCAGAACATTGGTATTAAAGACCAAATTCCCTTTTTGTTAATAAAGTTAAGGTGGAAACTTATCCTGAAGAAGGAAAACTTTTTTTCTTAGTTATCTTCAAAGTTAAGTAAAAATAAAGTTAATTTTGAGTTTATTCCTCTAATGCAAACACTGTTACTTTTATGAAATGAAAATAGGAAGTCTACAGTAGTCATTTATTAAGAGAAGCTCCTTTATTAAAGGTGGAGTCCATAGGTGACACAGAAGTTTAAGTGCCCCACTGCTAATGAAAAGGTTGATGATAGGAGTATATCCAGAGACATCTTGGGAAAAAGATCAACCATTGAAAACCTTCAGGAGCACAAGACTGTTTTGATGCACATGGATTCATGAGTTTGAATCTGCTACTACCTAGACATGCTTAAGCATGCAGTTAGTGCAGGACAATGAGAAACTGTACTCTGTCATTATGAGTCACACTGGTAGCCATGTGTTGCCTACTCCAGTGCTACAACTGTTACTAATGAATTGTTCCAAATGGTAGGGTCATCACCACATGGACTTCACCTGAGAATTGTCCTTTACTCTGTAGGATGCCATCTGCTCACCATCCTCGTATTCTAAGACTGTAGAAGTTTAGGCATTCCATATTTATTAATAACTTGGAAAATGTGAAAAGGATTATTTGAATAAATTATTATTTTTAACTTGTTTTTCCAGTGAACAGTAAGGAGTTCCTTGCAAAAGAAGAAAGCCAGATACCCGTGGATGAAGTGTTTTTCCACAGGTAATATGTTTAGTGTCATTTTATTTGAGGAGTTATTTAAATCTAAATTACATTTCTTTAAAATTATAGTTAGCAGTAGCCTCTCTTGAAAAGATCATCTATTTTTGTGAAGGGAATGTATGAATCAATCATTTGCTAAACTAAGTAAAACTAACAATACTGGGTCCTTTGCTTTTTGCCATTTAATAAAAGGATTTTGTTTTATGAAACTTCTCTTTTGTAAGCTTAATTCCATGGGCTTTTTGTTTGGGTTTCTTGGTTTTGTTTTTAAATCATTTGCTTACAGACTACTTTTGAGTAGATTTAATCTAAATTTAATATGATGATAAGCATCTCATGAGTAATTTTTACAAAACACAGTCCTTAAGGCAGAATTAGCAAAACTCTTTGAGTTATTGTAAAAAATATGACCTAAAGCTACTGATAAAGCTATTATTGCCCAATAATAGTAAAATAATTGCTCTCTCATCTGGTTGATTTGTTGGTTAGGTTTATTTTTTAAAAAACAGAGAGCTCTGGTAGCCTAGTGGCAAGAAGCTCCACTGTAATCCCAGAGGTACGTGGTTCAAATCCACCAGATGCTGTGCTGGAGAAGGAGGGGCAATCTCCTCCTGTACCAGTCAGATCTGATTTGACGGTACACACAGACAAAAATAATAAAATAAAATAATAATTTTTAAAAAAAACCCACCATTTTGTGTGAAGAATTTTAAAGGAGTAATTCCATCCGTAGGATACTGGGCTTCACTCCACCTTAATGTAAGAATAGGACTGACTCAAGACAGCTAGTTGAGGTTCTTTAGAGCCTTGTTTTATTACTCTGATTTTTATATCATTAGTGAGAAAACTCCAGTCTCTTACTATGGCATTTTGACTAAAACAAGTTGTGTTTAAATGAAGTAGTTTTAATAAGAAACTTACATTTTTTTACATTTACTGCACTTCATTGTTTGATCTTTAAAGTGTTGCTAAACTAAAACACTTTTTGGGGGTTTTGTTTTTATTCTGGTTTTTTTTTTTTTTTTTTAATTGATTGTAATGAAAGTTTACAGAGACTTTGGATTTCCATTCATTCATTGTTGAACTTTTCTCCCTGCCCGCCCTTCCCCAATTCACTTTTCTTTTTGAAAAGTAAAAGAAAAATTGCTTTCATTGTTATTGAATCCCTCCCCTCAAGTCCACTCCACTATACTACTTACCTTCTGGACTCCCATCACAAGTATAATATCTAATTATATATCCCTTTTAAACAGTTCTTTCTGTTTTTGAGCTTTTATACCCAATTGATTATGCTTAAAAAGTTTTACAGTTGTGGTTTGTGTCACTGTTCATAATTGCTTTAGTGATGGTGATAGGTCCTTAATAAAGCTATCAAACACATAGCATGTTTTTTTTATTTTAGGTATTATAAAAAAGTTGCCATTCTTAAAGAGAAACAACAGCGACATGCAGATGAAGAAAGTATAGAAGATGTGGATGATGATGAATTTGAAAAAATGATTGGTAATTAGTTTTTATGACTCTTCAATTTATAAAGTAACTTGTCTCTCTTTATAGATGATTAGTGGCAGAAGTATCCGGACCTTACTTTTTTTAAAAAACCATTTCACTTAAAGCAACATGCTGAGCACTCTGAAAAATTAAGTATTTTGATAACATATGGAAATTTGACCACTTTTGCCCCAGAAAACTCTGATTGAGCTTTGAATGGTTAATGTGAGGAAAAAAAATTTACTTACATGTTTATATTCATTTTTAACATCATCTTTAATATAGAATCTCATTTTGCTAGAGGTGTTTTTTTTTTTTTGGCTAGAGTTTTTTATTTGAAATGAACATTCTGTGTTTTAGGGGAAAGTTTACATAAGTTAATTAGTGTTCCAATCGATAATTTATACATAGTTATTCTATAATAATTGGCTACAATCCCCACAGTGTGTCATTATCTTTTCCTCACTGGGTTTCCATCTCCATCCTTCTGATTTTCCTCTCCTTTCTTGTTTGTTCATCTTTGGTTTGGGGTAAATGTTGCCTCTTTGGTCTTACATAGTTGGTTATAGTGCAGTAGCACTTTCTTGCCAGTAATTACTTATTTTATAGGCCAGTCTATTAATCAGCTAAAAGGTAGTCTCCATCATGAGTTTATTGGAGAGAGGGTCTTGAATTGTGTTCTATTTTTAACCATTCTAAGTAGAACCTTCTCTTGTCTTAGTGTACTTGAGCCTAGTAGCCAGCACCATCTAGTTCTTTTGGACAGACTTACTTGCTTCCTCTTGTTGGTTTTTCTGATCATTTTGTATTTGTTATCAAATCTGCTATTTGACCTACTTACTTCCAGCCCACAGAGTTGGAAAATTTTGCATTAAAACTGAAACAAAAAGCACAGGCAGTGAAAAGGTTTTTGTTAATTCTATTTCATTCTTATCTATTAACAGTGAAATAGTCCAATAGAGTAAAAAGGACCGTAGTTGCTAAATTTCTTATTTGCTATTTACTCTCTTTCTATTAAAGGGTTGTATAAAGAAGCTGAAACTAACTGGATTCATAGTAGTTTAGGGATTTGAGGAAGGTCACTATGTTCTTAAGTCTCTAAACTAGCAAGTGTCCTATGTGATTTCGGGTTTACTTGTGAAGCACAGCAGAAGCATGACCATTATAATAATGATTGTGAACCTTGTTCTTTTTTGCATTAGCTCACAATTTCTGTATTTTTCTCTGGCAGACACATTTGAAGATGATAATTGTTTCGTTTCTGGAAAAGATGACCTTGATTTTGCTGGGTAACGTGCTTTTCTTCATTGTTCTTTTTATTATTACTAGCATTTTGTTCCTCCAGCATTCATAATTACCATCCCTCAGACCACTAGGCTGGAGGACTCTAAAATAATACACAGTAGCATGTTAAATGAAGGTTGTGATCAATCTACAGTTCTTTCTAACTACATCTCTTAAGAGCTTGATGTACCCTGCCGTCACAAAAAGACACTTTTAAAAAACTCCCCTTTTATGCTGTCAGGACATCTCCTGGCCCAGTAATTAAAGACTTGGCTGCTCACAGTTGGTCAGCAGTTCAAACCCACGAGCCAGTAAGATGACAGTATTCTGCTTCTGTATAGATTTATGACTTTGGAATCCCTGTAAAACATTTCTACTCTGTGCAGTAGGGTCACCGTGTGTTGGAATCAGTGGCAGCAGGTTTGAGTTTGCAACAACTGTTTTTTGTTTTTTCAGCAATGTGAAAAAGAAAACAAAAGGAGCTAAGGATAACTCAGAATATGAAGATTCAGAAGGCAGTAATGAGGACCTGGAGAACCTGGATGATGACGAGGTTTCCTTAGGAAGTATGAATGAAGAATTTGATGAAATTGATGAAGAGGGAGGAACATTCATGGATGTATTGGATGATGAAAGCGAAGGCATTCCAGGTGATTATTAGGAACAAATGACAGTACAAATAAACTTTTTCCTTCCTTTCCTCATCTTCAAGGTTAATGTTCCCCTTGGAAGTTTTTGTTTGTTAACATGGTCCTATGTTCAAATTAACATTAAAATCAGTCAGTACTTTAAAGAGAGTTTTTTGCCCTCTTGGTTGGTAAGACTTTTTAATCAACAGTTAGACTACCTGTGTGCCATACTTGCTGAGCTAACAAATGTTTATGTGTAACCAGGAGAGGATAAAATTGATGAATCTTTAATCCTTCTAAAGATTAAATCCCTGTGCTCATCAAAAACTTTTTCCAGTAGGATGAAATGAAAATGTACTGATTAGGAAAAAACATGTGGCAGTACCATTTCAGACAAGGATCTCATAACAGAAGTTTACAGAATCCTACAGGGCCTCCACAAGAATAAGACTGATAACAGAATCACAAAATGGGGAAAAGACATAGAAAGAATGTTCCCAGGGAAAGATAGGATGGCCAGCAGACACATGAAGTAATGCTCCAAATCACTGGCAGTTTGCTTTTACTTTTTTTAAAATATTTTCTTGGTCTGCTTACAAAGTTCATATACATTGTGTTTCACACTATTCTTCATAATGTGGTTTGTACACTCATTCTCATGAATTATGTTTTATAAAATTAATCACCGCTGGACTGTGCCCATCATTATCCTCTATTTTCAACTGGACCCCTCTATTTTCTTCCCCACCCCCATTCACCCATCAAACTGCAACTCTGTGGTTTTGCCCTACCCATCCTTGCCCCTTTGCTCCCCCCCGCCCCCTTGGGTTCCTTTGCATGTTTTACTAGTTATCCTTCTATTTTTACAATAATGGTATTTGTCCTTATGAGACTGAGTGAGTTCACTCAGCATAATGTTCTCCATCCTCTCCCAAGTTACATAATATCTTTCTAAATCATAAGAGCAAGGGAATATGGCCAGACAATTCATAGAGAAACTAAAAATATCTAATAAAAATATATAGTATTGGATTAAGATGTGTCAGAATATTTTGAAAATCTACTCATGCACACTTTAATAAACAGAATTTAATTATTTTTTAAAAAGCAGTGGGAACAAGAGAGATGCAAATCAAAACCACAATAAGATACCATCTCACCCCACCAACAGTGCCGACGTTTAAGAGCAAGCAGTTAATGTCGGAGAGGTTGGAATTCTCATACACTGTTGGTGGGACTGTAAAATAGTACATCCGCAGTTTGACATTTCCTCAAAAAACTGAACATAGAAATTCTGTATAAACTCGCTGTTCCACCACTAGGAATATCCCCCAAGGAAAATAGAACTGAGGCACAAATAGAGATCTGTAGTACACCATTGTTCATAGCAGTGTTATTCATAATAGCAGAAAAATGGAAACTGCCCAAATGACCATCAGTAAATGAATGGATTGAGAAATTCACACAATGCATACTATGCATACTCAGGAGCAACGATCTCAAAAAATACTATATAACATAGGAGAGTCTGGAGAGCATTATGCTGCGTAAACTAGCTCAGTCACATAAGGACAAATACTACATAAGATCATTATAGAAGGATGACTAGCAAGATATGCACAAGGGTCTGAAGAGGGAAGCAGAGGGGTCAGAGTGGCTGAGAGTGGGGAAGTGAGGAAATCATGATGTTGCGGAGTTTGGTGGGCAGAGGGAGAGGGTGAAGGAATTAGGAAAGACCTACCAGGGACCTGAAAAGTCAGGGGCATAGATCAAAAGTGACTAATTTTTAAAAAAGTGTGAATGATGGAATGTGTAAAACCATGTATATGAATTTTGTATGCAAGCTAATATAAATAATTTTAAATTTTTAAAAAATAATATTCATCATCACCCTGTCATATAAATGAAGAAGGTAGTTGTTTTATCTTTTTAAATTAGCAAAGAGCATCCAAGATTTTGTCCTTGGACAGTTTTCTTTGTCCTTTTATGTATCTTTGTGTATACAGACATACCTGTACAACCTAATACTTTTTGGAATATAGCAGACAGGTTCCTTGTTTTGCATTTCTTGGTTTTATTGGTAAATCTATCTAGTAAATCATGTAGGGGGATCAAAATATGGGTCTGTGTCAGGAATTACTCTTAGGGTTTAGAGTCTCTCCACACCAAAGCTATACCATATTCGTCTTGAAATCACTGAGAGCTGCTTTCATTAACAGAACTTGATGATGATCACCCTGAAGATAATACCAAGAAACACAAGCGCAAAAGTGGAGGTGATTTGGACTTTGCTGGATTATGTCAAGGTAAGGCAATGATGCATCTCTTTCTAGTGTCCACATGAAAAACACTATTACGATTTTGGAAGATGAGTATTTCCACATTGGTTAGTATCTCAGTTTTTCTTCCCTTAAAGTAAGAAATTTTAATAATGGATACTAAATTTATATAATTTTACTAGTTTTATAAATTTAGTTCTTTTATCTCTCTGCCATGTTTAAATGTCTCTAAATCTTTTTTATTCATATTGTAACTATTCCGTTATCTCACTTTTTTTTCTTTTAATGAAAGTTTAGAGACTTGGGGTTTCCAGTCATTCACTGTTGTACTTTTGATTGTTAATTACTAGTTCTTTCAGACCCTAAAGTATGACACTAAGATGGTCCCTAATAGCTAAATTGTATACCTGATGCATATTTAACGTATCTTACTTTCCATTTTGTCTTCCTTGAATGTAAAATCACTTTTGTTGTTGAGAATAATTTGTATGTAGAATTAGCCAGCTGGACTCAGTTTACATGATCCCAATTTTGTTGGCAACATCCAAAGCATCATAGTCAGGAGCAAGTCGAACATAGGCTTCCTTCTCTCCATCAGGCCTAATCAAAGTGTTGACCTTAGCCACATCAATGTCATAGAGGCATGTTTGATTTGGTGCTTATTGGCCTTGACATCCACGATGAACACAAGTGTTTTATCTTCTGTCTTCTTCATGGCTGACTCAGTGGCCTGGGGAAACGTGATGATGATGTAGTGGTCAAGCTTGTTTCTCCTGGGGGCGCTCTTCAGGGAATTATTTGAGCTGCCTTTGGAAGCTCAGCATCTTAGGCTGCCAGAAGGTGGGTGACGTGCAGATCTTTTTTTGGTGGGTCGCTCCAGATGCCCTTCAGTACTGTCTTCTTGGCCTTTAATGCCTTTGTTTTGGCTTCAGTTTTGGGAGGGGCAGGGACTTCACTCTTGGCTTTTGGCTGCATCTTCATAAAGGTCTGATCACCTTTTAATGACAATATATGCTCCAAAGCAGAAGTGCTGCTTAACTTAAAGCCCTACACAGCCTACCATGTTACCAGATGCTCTGTTGACCTCATTTTGAATAATACTCCCTTCAGAATCCATACTAGCTTGAAAGGACCACAAACCTTAAATCAGTAATTACTTTAGATATTTATCAGGATATATCTAACAAAGCTAAGAAACGTTCAGTCAGAACCAACTCATATCTGACCTTCCAACGAGTTTTCAAAGGGGAAGACATTGCCCACTTTTCTCCTGTGGAGCTGCTTTTGAACTGCAAGACCAACGTGGCCTCTGAGTTAGCAGTGCAGCTCCCTCTCAGACCTCCCCAACCTGACAAATCATTAAAAAGAATTTCAAACAGATATGTTAACAGATCACTTCATATCCATATATCCATATCTCAGGCAATGTTGGATGCTATTATAGAAACATCTTTAGGAAACTTTTTAAAAAATTTAAAATTCTTTGTCATTGAGTCAGAACTGACTCATAGCTAATGCGCCAGTGTTTCTGAGGTTGTAAATAGCACAGGAGATTCTCCATCTTCTTTCTTAGAGCTGCTGATAGATTCAAACCACTAGAGAGAAGTACAGCCGAAATTTCATTTGTAATGTATGTTCAGTCAATTCCTATGTCTCCAGTTAGAATTTGCCCATCCATATAGGTTTTGGACTATTAATCTTGCCTGATATTATTTAAGGGGGAAATCTTGATCCTAGGCTAAATCTGAAAGTCAAGAAGACACTATTACCATCTCAGTTATTGAACTGTTGTATTAGGATATTATTGTTGCTGTGTATTGTCAAGTTAGAATCAACTTTTAAAGCTGACTCTCCAGGTTTTCAGAGGCAGTAATTTCACAGATATCCCATAGAGCAGCTAGCTGGTGGATTTGAACTGCATGCCTTTAGGTTGGCAGCACAACTCCTTACCACTACACCACCAAAGCTCCCTATCAGGATATTAACTTCTAAAAATACTTATTCTTAAAATATACTTTTGTCCAAATGCCAGCAGTTTAATGGCGCTAGTAGATAATTGCATTTGTGGGTTATAGCCAAATAAAATATTTTTCTTAAAAAAAGCGATATATGATAGGGTATTATAGTTATCACAAGAGTCCATAATTAAGGGTGCATAGTGAAGTGTACCTGGGGCAGTGAGGGGTGCAGGGGGATTGTATACCAAAGAAAGAATTTTTCTTTTACTTTTTCAAAGAGAGGAGCAAACTGGGGCGGTGGGGGGGAAGGCTGGGCAGGGAGAAAAGTGCAACAATGAATGAATGGAAATC